CTTTCTTTAATTTGTGAACTTTCTATTTGTTCTTATATTCTTTTATAATGAATTTCCTTGCTAAGAAAATTTATTTGTTTTCTTTTCCTATGTATATAATTTACGCTAAATATTGACTCTTGTTTTAAAATTTTTATTTCTTTAATTATCTAGGGTTTAACCCATTCAAAAATTATTTTCTTACAAGCTACTTGTTATTATCCCTTCATAACTGCTTTAAAGGGTAATATCTATTTTAAAAAAGGTGTGCTTAAAATTGCAGGTTTGCTTAAAGCTTTAACCAACATAAATATATTTTTAAAACATATTCCTTGGTTACAGATATTAGCTTTTGTCAATTTATACTGTATATCTAATTTAGAATTATTAGTTGGTCCTTTTTTTCATTATGTCTTTTCATAATACTTTGTTGGAATTGATCCTTTTTATATATAATTCAAATATGCTCCTAAGCCTATCAGAACTATTATAATTCTGAAAAACTCTTGGTTTATAATTAAATTAACTTGACAATATCATTTTCTATAGGTTAATTGTGAGACTACATTAATATATCTATGCTAATCTGTTTCTGTTGGTATCTCACTAATATCTTTGTCATCTTTAATTTCTATTTCTTTGTCTATTTTATTAATTTCTATCAAAGCTCTAATTTGTAATATTTCTATATCTCTTTGATGTCGTTATTTCTTAATTCTTTAATTTCTTATTTTATTTGTTTTATTTCTCATTGTAATTTTTTTATTCCTATTGGTTTACTATGTTTGGGTTCAAAACTTTTTAATATATCTTTAATACTTTTTGGTTTTGTAGAAGGTTGAGGTTTTTCTTCTTTATCTTAAATTTCTTTAATTTTAAGTAAGTATTGTTTCTTAATCTATTCATCTTGAATTTTATTTATTATTTCTACAAAAAAAACTTTAAATTTTCTCTATCTAAGGTGTTGACTCTAAGTTTTTCTGTACAATTATAAATTTTTTTTCTTATACAATCTTCTTCAAATTCTTTTGAAGATAATAACTCATTATTACTTTTTACATCTTTAATATTTAATATTCTTTCTACTTCTTCTCCTGAAGGCTATTCTTCTTCAAATTTAGAATCACTTTCTATCATTATTATTAACAAATTTTGTTCATTCTCTTCATTAATATGTAATTCTCTAATTTTCTTTTCTACTTTACATTTAGAAGCATAATGGCCAAATCTACCACATTTATAATAAACTATTTCTTTTTTATTTTTTTCTTTTTGAAAAGACTTATCTTTCTTAAAGGTTTTTTTATATTTGGAAAAATATGCTTTATTTTTTCTATATTTTCAGTAAGGTGTTTGCATAAAGTTTTTCTTTTTATTCTTTCTGGATGGAGCTTGGTTTTCTCAGATTCATGTTGCTCACAAAAGTTTTCTAATTCCAGTTTTCCTTCTTTTGTGTCTTTGTATATTTTCTTTGGCATTTTTATCTCATTACACAGTTTTAATCCTGCAATATTTATCATATTAATTATTTCTCCATAGGTTACAGCATTATAAACAATCGTTCCTGCACCTTGTATTTGTCTAATTTCATTTTTAACTCTTTCAGCAAATAACTTAGGTAATCCTAAAATAAATTTTTCTTTCCATATGTCTGAATTAGCATTTTGTCTTTCAAAAAGTTTTGAAATAAAATCATCTTTATACCATCTAAAATCTGCAAGTGTAGGATATCGCAAATTCATCAATCCTTATAAATATCTTTTTCTGCATTCCTATAGGTTCTACGAAATGTTTTATTATAACATACATTAACTATATAATATTATCTAAATATCTCATTTCCGTACCATTATCTTCTTTTTTAACAGAATGCCAAGTTTTTACTTGAAGTCTTTCAGATTCAGTGAGAATATTTTTCCACCATCATTTCAAACTTCTTGTAAATCCTTGGATTAACATATCAAATATGTTATTATCCTATAAATTATTTATTTTGTAGGCAACTACTACTATGGTTATTTCTTGGGCTAAATTCATTATTTCATATTTGCTAAAGCCATCTATGTAACACACCAAATTTTTTTTAAAAATAATTTAACTCAACCATAGTTGGGTTACAGCTACCCAACACATTTTTATATCAATAATTTCAATATAAAATATTTTATAATTGGCTTCAACTCACACACTATAACATTTCAGATAAATTTTTACCTCCCACATGCCATTAGGCTAAATCACATTTGTCCATCCTTACACTCCCAACAAGTAAATTAAATCACATTTATCCATCCTTATACTCCCAACAAGTAATATAAGTAATTTAGTCAATTTTCAACACAAGCCAGTTATTTGGCCTTATAATCATGCCATTTTAACCAATCCAAAGTAAACCAAATATTAAAATTATAGTCATCCAAATTGTACCAAAAATAGAAATAGTTTGAAAGGCATGATTGCATTTATATATTTATATAATTGACAATAAACAAAAAGCCCTAATATTGGAAATATAACACATTATAAATCATAAATTAAATACCCAAAAGAGACAGTGGATCTATATCACTAAGCCTCTGAGACTCCTCCACGTGTCACTCGTGGCTCTTCTCCTGAAAATTGTTAACCATATAATGAGACTCAAAAGTCCCAGTAACCAAAGCTAATTTATGATAGTGTATACAAACAGTTAAGTGTGTGCTTACTAAGTGAGAATTAAAAATAATATAATTCCAACAAATATAAGAAATATTACAATACACACAAACAACCATCCTTATATCCCTCCATTAACCTCGAGCCATAGCCCTCACTCAGTGCTAAATTACCCGGCCAAAGGTAGATTAGCCCGAGCCCTTACAAGCCACCTATTGAATTCCAATAGGGGCGTACCACGTGGCACATAAATACAACAATAATAGCAAGTCTCCCAACACCTCTTACAATAATTAAACAAATTCATAATAATATTGCACAATTATAAATATTATTTATAAATAGAATTATTTATAATACAATCTACAAATATTATTAATACAATCTACAAATAACATATTATTTATAAATATTAGTTTCAATTTTTGAAACTAATAAAATAATTCTAATAATAGAATTAAAAATATAACATAATTCCTAATCTCAATCTTAATACAAATCTAGAGTTAACACTATTAAGTAAAATTTTTTAATTCCTCTTTTAATTATCAATAAATATTAATAATCTAAAAATCAACTTCTAAACTAATTTCTATTATCAAAATTTTCTTTTTATTTCATAAATTCGTACCTAAAATACCCAAAAATTAAAAATTAAGTCTCTAGCTTAGAATCATAATCCTATAACTATAATAATTCATTTCTCATCCCAAATAATCATCTAAACCTCAATAAATCAACATATATTTTCAGATCTAGTTTAGAATTTGATCCATAAGCCACAAATTCAAAGATCATCAACAAATTTATACTCTAGAACATTTATTATACTACTGACAACCTCAAAAACCATATTTATTCAACATAAATTCATCCCTCTTTCAGATCTTAAATTTTCTACCACTACAAACTCAGAAACCAAATAAGAAGGATGACTAAGAAAAATTTTTAGAACATTTACTTAGCCTTGAAAAGCTTAAAATCACACCCTAAATATCCTATTAAAAACTCTTACCTTAAAAATTTAGATATTTCGCACCGACGACTGGCGTTCTCTCCGCCTCAGCTCGCGCACAGGAAAAGAATTGAAGAAACGAAAGGAAACGGGTGAGTTTTTATAAAAATTCAGTAGGGCCCATATTTTTTTTTATTATTTCTTCTTTCCTCTCTCTCCCTTTTTTTTATTATTATATATACGTAATGATTGCAGCACGCGGCACCGAAAGCAAACTCGTTCTTCTTCTTCTTCTTCCCTTTTTTTATTCACACCTTTTCTCTTTTTTTTATAATAATAATAATTTAATAATATTTTTAATTAATTAATTAATAATTTTTTTAAAAAAAATTTTAATTTAGAATTATATCCTAAGTTAGATTTAATAATTATTTTCTACTAATTTACTTACCTCTAAATATTTTTCAAAATTTTTATTAACCAAAATTAACTATTAAAATTTAAATTGGGATGTTACAATCTATGTTCTACTCATATATGGATGTTCCATCATAATGAGAGGTTGTCATAGTATACCTTTTTTCAAACTGTAAATTCGAGAGTATTGGTCTTGGATAATAGTTTTTAATATTTTTACTTTTTCTAAAATCATGTCTTTTAATATTATTAACTGTTAAATCTTTTTACTTTTGAGAGGATAACTCCACATCTAAGGTTGCCTATAATGCTTGTGAGGCCACATCATTAAGTAGGGAGGCCCATTCTCCTTTTGTTTGTTGAGAAAGCTAAGAATTGACATACTATACTTACACCAATATTTTTTGTAATTTTTTATATAATATTATTTTTAGAAGACTTGTATGATGTGTAATTCTATTTTATACTTCATATTTTAATAATAATAATATTATTATATTACACACACACTATTATACTTCAGTGCTGTTTCATTGCCTTCATTCAAGAAATGAAGTTGATAACTACCTTCATCTCATTCTCTTATTAACCACGAAGAATAGAAGATTTGGCTGTAAAAAATATAAAAGAAAGAGATGCAATCTTTCCTTTTGGCAACAATCAACTTTAACATATTCAAGACCTTCTAATTTTATCAAAGCAATATATCACTTCTTTTTTTTTTTTTAATCTTGCCTTCTTTATATAATTTTTTATAATTAAAAGCTTTTGCAAGCTCTAATATTTGATATAGATTTTTTAATTTTTTATTTTGCTTTTATTTTATTTGTTACTGTTACATTTAATTTCTCTCATCCAGATCTAAGCTCGGAGAGATGTGAATTGTTATTTTTTCATCTTTTTAAATATATTTGATCTTTTTATTAAAAATTAAAAAATACTTATAATTATGTATCGTTATTGATTTGAAATAATATTCTTGCCGTGACTACAGCCCAACAAAAGACAATCTCGTCAAGCGGATTCATTTTTCTTCGTCGACGAACAAGCATTCCACCCTTGGTCGCCGTCGGGTGCCGTCCACAACTGTCAGCATTACGTGGTTGTTCTCCGGCCAGTATTGAAGAAGGTTCGAACCCTAGGGCTTTGTCTACTCCCACCGGTGAGATTGATTTGTTCAATCTGGCTATGTATCTAGTTTTGAATTTGTTCCTCGCGTCATCTGTTCCCTGCGTGGTTGTCAATCCTGTATCGGACGCCATCTTACCGTTTTGGTTTCTTGATTTGTTTTAATTTTTCATTTTAATTTGGGTTTGAATCTGGTCGTGTAATCGTTTGAATATTGACGCTTTTGAATAAAGATTGAGTTTGATTTTTGTTTCTTTAACTTTGATTTGTAGTAGTTGCTTCAATTGTTTGTGATCGGCTGTTATCCTTCTGCCCTCATCATTTTGATTACTGGGGACTTGTATGCTTTGGATTGTTTTGTTGTGCAATGTTGGATTGATTGTTTATTCGCATTATACTTATTAATCTCTTCATATTGTCCCTTATTAAGAAAATTCTCATGATGTATGTGATGCATGATCAATGACATGGCTCAAGTTGTGTCTAGCAATTTAGAAGCTCGAGTTTAATTTGTCATTCTTCAGTGGCATGGAGGAGTTGCCTGAATCAATTGGCTTACTAATAATCTTCGTCAAAATATGTGGATCAAAATTTAAAAGGGTATTATATCAACCATGCATATTTCAATGATTTCAGTTAGGGCATAATATAGGTCCGCCTATGTTTTATAAAGAGGCAAGTCGATGTGACTCCGAATGATATAAATAAGAACTTTTGGAAAGCTGTACCCTGGACTGGCTCACAAGGTTTTCAGGTCGGACAACTCAAGGTTTACATGAATCCCACGACAGAATTCTGCGTTTTTGATGTGGGACTCAAACCATATATGCCTTGTAATGGATCCTAACAGAGCTGGCACCTTTACCTTGGATGACTTACTTGCCAACCATAATGCTCCTAGGTGGCATTCGAGGTCTTGGTGGCTTACACAGTCATCTTGCTCTCTAGCTCTCTAGGATAGCCCTTTTTTGGCTGTCAAGAAACTAGGTCAAGTTTCAACACCACTGATCACAACTTTTGGTGGAGATATACCCCAAATCACTAGCACGGGAGGTTGGAGAGCCTAAGGACCTTTATAACAAATTCATGCCCTGTAATAAATCTTGACAAATTTTTAATATAACAAATGAATTGTTAATGATATCTTTCTCAATGGCACTATAAAATTTTAAATAATATCCCTAGCATGCAGATAATAAGTTTTTGTTATCATAACTGCTCCCTCCGACAAAAAATGTGAGGCATTTTTTGAGGGGTTGTGTGTTAAAATATGCAAAGCATATTTAGTGTTTCAAAGTGTAATTATTATACTTTTTTCAAAAGTGCCTATAATAAATAAATTACTTTATATTTATTTTAAAGTAAAACATCTTATTAAATAAGGGTAAATATGGAAAGATGGAGGTAGTTTGAAGACAAGTAATTACTTTATTAGGGGCGAGATTGGGTTAAAAATACCTTACATTTTTAAATAGAGGGAGAATACATTAAGGATTTTTGAGATAGATAGGTAGATTACAATAATATATTTTTATCTATTTTATAGCCAAGCACATATATATATATATATATTTACATATATGTATATTTAATGCATTCTTCTCTATTCTTGTAACAGGTTGTAATATTTAAAATTTGTTGAGTCAGTTACACAATATACAGTCTATAAAGCTACAATGAAAAATTTGAAGAGTTAAACAGTAATATTTGGGTGCTGACGTCATATTATCTTTAAATTGTTGATTGGGAAAGTGGTATGTCTCGGTAGTGATGTCATCATTTGGGCTAGTGAGCAATTGCATACAATATTCGTAGAATTCTTGTAGTAAGTTATAATCACCCTGATTCTTCTTAATGTGTAAATTTTTGAATCATTAATCATACACATTAAATTTCTTTAATGTTTAGCCGATTTGCTGCCTGCCATATGTGGCAAACTTAATCAATTTTAATGTCTCTCATTTTAAGTCGTCATAAACCTGCATATCCTGTTAATTTTCCCGATTTCATCTCTTTCATTTGATCTGAAGCCTCAACTGTATTCTTTGTAACGCTTGAATATCTCAGCAGTCAACACTCCTCCTTAAAAACATTTAGTCATCTAGAGTTCTTCATTCTGCTAAGTTTAAGTGAATAGCAGGCAATGCATTTGTCTTTTGTCTATTATTATATTGCATAACATCCACCTATCTCCTGTTGTGCACCAGCCATCACGCTGTATGTGTTGTGTCTTATATTTGTCCGTTTCAGTTGGCGTAAGGCCAATGGCCAATTACATGCAATTAATTATTGAAACTTTTCTCAAGGGAAAAAAGAAAACCTCTTTTATTTTACAGTTAATCACAACCTACGAATAAAATTCTTAGGAAGAAAGAGTCATATCTTAAGATTTGATTGTTGATAAAGCACAATAGCATTGTTTTGTTCATGAAACCGGGCTCACCTAATGGGATAAGGCTGTTTGTTGTTCTTGGTGTTGTTGTTGGGAATAAAGAGTCGAACAAAATATGATAACTGTTTGCTGGATTTTTTTCCGACGATGTTTGCGTAATTGTTGTTGCCCTCAATTCCATGAAAGAGGCCAATCAGAAACTTATGAGCAATTGATAATTGGCTACAAAATATAAGGAAAAAACTCTCTGATTAAAGAATTGATAACAGCATTTGGTACAAATAAATTCCCCTTTTTTTGTGCCCAATTTGAACTATTAAATTCATTGGTGATTGGTGTATCTTAATTTGTTCACATGTATTTTATTGACCCAGTTGTCAGATAGCGATCCATTGGGATGGTTCATGGTCTTCTCTGCAGCCTTTATGCATGAAGAAGGCCCCTTTTCTTTCTCCAAGAAGAGGCTGAGAGTGTTGGAATTTGGATATCAAGACCTACATCCACATGCATTTGCAGGACGTTTCAGTGATGTGCCATTGCCTTCACATCTGGAAGTAGAAAGGTCCTAATTTTTACAGTTTTTAACATAAATTGCTTATTTCTTCATCTTCCAAGCTTGAAAACTTCTCTTCCTGTCTTCTTCCCCCTTCACAGAAACCAACGGGCCAAAGCCAAATCTTGAGGTACCCAGTTCACAACTAAGGCTGTAATAATTACCAAGTCAATCAGAATGTTTATTTTATCATTATTGAAGCATGTGCTAAACATTTCTTCGTCCATTTTCTATGGCTTGAATTGCCTTTGAAAAATCTGGAGTATTGGGCATTTTCTTTCCCCTTACCTGTTGAGTCTAAGGGTTTGTTTGGTTTCATGTTGAAACCCATCAAAATGTCCTTGGATTGCTTCCGCCAAAACATGGTTTTGGCAATTTCCAGCATGAAACCAAACATGCACTAAAACCCCAGTAAGATGGTCACTTTTGACAACCTAATTATTAAGGCCCAAACTCAGAAAGTTTCAAGTCTTTTAGAACTTACCACAGTTCAGCCTCAAACAGAGACACATTTTTCTGATTGTCAGCATATTGACTTATCTCTGCCTGAGCACAAACAAGCTTGACTTTTCTTGGTCCATTTTCTAGAGCTTTAATATTATTAAGACCAATTCCTTAGATATTTTAAAGCCCTTTAGAACATCTTGCAGTGCAGCTATAAATGTAGACAAATTTTTTGTGGGTAAATTTGTTGATTGCAAATTATTCTGATAGCTGATTACTTCACATCTTGTTTGGTTGGTGGGGAGGGTATGGGAAGGGAGGGATTTTGCTCCCCTCCCCTTGTTTGACTTGGAAAAGTGGAGGGGAAGTCACCCTCCCCCAACATTGGGGGGATTTGGAGGAAAGGGGTATATTTTAGTTATCTAGTGACCAATGTACCCTTGCTACGTTTTAATAATCCAAAAATGCCCTCTATCAAGTAAAACCTAAATCCCTCATTCTGTTGATCAAGAGGCTGCCTCACCTGTGGTGAGCCTGTGCCAGCTGCTGTCACTGTTCTGTCACCAATGCCATCCTTTATGCCAGTGCGGGTCGAACTGTTAACTCTACTTCACCATCACCCATGTTTTTCTTTCCTGATTTTTCCTGCTGCTCCTCCCTTTTATTTATAGGCTGATCTCCATATCCCTTTTTTTTCCCCACTCTTATCCCTCCTTTGCATGTGAGTGGCAGCAATCTATATATATTATAATTATTTATATGTTTATGGAATTTAAATTTATATATATATATATTATAATTAATTAATTGTTACAGGTTCTAGTTACAGTTATAATTATTTATACATTTATGTATGAGGATTAACTCTTATTTATTTTTACCAACTATGATTTTCTTAAAAAACTGAATAATAACTTAGCTCTGATTCTACTTCCATGGGTGTATATATATTTGAAATTCATAAATATATTTTATTAAATATTCATATAAACTAGGAAAAACAATTTTAATAATATAAGGGCATGCTTGTCCATGTCTAATTATTAACCCTCCCCTCCCCTCCCGAGCCAACAACAATAACAACAACAAGCCTTATCCCACTAGGTGGGGTTGACTACATAGATTATATGACGCAATTGTGCTTTAGCACTTATTAAGCTTTTAGAAATATTATTAATTAAGAGGTCTAGATCAATAATTTTTAAAAGTGTTCTCTTTGGCCTTCTTCTACCTTTCTTGACAGGACTCAAAGTTTTTTGTTCTACTTTCCTCACAGGTGGCTCCTTTGATCCTCTTTGTACATGTCCAAACCACCTTAAATGATTTTCTACTATTTTTTCTTTAATAGGTGGGATGTCTACTTTTTCCTGTGCACGCTCATTTCGAATCTTGTTTTTACGTGTATATCTGTACATCCATCTCAACATTCTCATCTCTACTACTCCAACTTTATGCTCTTAATGTTTCGTTAAAACCCTACATTCACTATCATATTATATTGCTGGTCTTATAGTAGTTCAATAAAACTTCCTTTTAAGTTTATTAGGTTTCTTACAATCGTAGATAACTCCTTTAGCTTTTTTTCAATTAAACCACTCGACTTGTATCCTATGTGTAATATATCCATCAATTTTTCCATTATGTTGAATAATCACTCCCAAATATCTAAATTTTTTCACTTGAGGTGTGATCTAATCATCTAATTTCACTTCTAAATTACTACTCATTGACCTTTTATTAAAATTACAATGTAGATATTCTATTTGACTCCTACTTAGGCGAAAACCTTTTGACTCTGATGTCCTCCTCCATAACTCATGCTTACAATTAATCTCTTCTTTTGTCTCCGTAATAAGAACTATATCATCCTCGAAAAGCATGCATTTAGGGATTTTCTCTTGAATTTGCTCAGTTAAAACATCTAAGACTAGATCAAACAAGTAAGCACTCAAAGATGATCCCTAATGCAGTCTAATCTTTATAGGAAAGTCTTTTGTTTTGCCACCAGACATTTTTATACTAGTTGTTGCCCCCTCATACATGTCTTGTATAACTTGAATATAGGCAACCCGAACATTTTGAACCAAATAATGTAATATTGAAATCCCTCTCCTCCCTTTTGCTCCTTTCTACTAAATTTTTTTCTTTCCCCTCTTGTCTCCTTGAACCAAATAGCCTTTTAGGGTTCTTAGAGGAAATGTTTTGTTTGTGGGAGCTGCTTGTCATCTTTATTTTTCTTTTATCCTCTGCTTAGAAAGGATATCTTACCTTTTTTTGCATACCTTTGTTGCTAAGTTGTTGTATAAACAAAACAATGACTGAATTTAAATCTATCGTAATTTTTGAATGTCAAAGTTGTTTTAACTTGTCCTTTTTGTGTTCCTTGCAACTTTTACTTTTGTCCTCTTTTGTAGGGATACTGGTGATATTCCCTCTTATTCCAATCTTGATGATAGGGCTGATTCAGATTCTGGATTGGATATGAGCTGCCAGTCAAATGTTAAGAGTGTTGATATTCCTGTATGTTTTACGACAAGGAATATTTCGTTCCAGGTTCAGAGTCATCCTCCTGGCTATATGCAGCCTGCTTTTGTTAGTGGATGGATGTATGTCAATGAAAATGGGCAAATGTGTGGTCCCTATATTCAGGAGCAATTATATGAAGGATTAACTACTGGATTCTTGCCAGTTGAGCTTCCTGTGTATCCTGTGGTTAATGGCACATTAATGAATCCTGTACCATTGAATTACTTCAAGCAGTTTCCTGACCATGTTTCCACAGGGTTCATATACCTGAGCATGAGTAGCTCAATCATAACCATGCCTACAGGTTGCTCCACATCTTCTGGTAAGGATATAACATCATTCAGACAAGGGTCCTCTGAGCATGCTCCTCCTGTAGCTGTCAACTTTGATTCACGGTCTGTTTCCCAGTCACATGTCAACTACACCAGTAAGGAATTCTTGACATTGAACTCAAAGGTACTCAATTGCATAATGTATTGTCCGAGGGTAGTGTATTATTTGCTTAATGTTAAGCTATCCAGTGTCATTATGTAAGTCATCTTGCCATATCTATTTGCCTAGTTGACTGGTGTGCTTTTCACATCTTATTCTAGTTATATGAAGAATGCTGTTGGCTTTATGATGATGAAAAGGGAAAGAAGCATGGACCACGTTCCATTTTGGAATTAATTTCCTTGCATCATTATGGACATCTCCAAGATTCATCAGTGGTAAGATAAATTGTGGTTCTGGAAAGTGATATTTACTCTGCAGTCCTGCTGCTGATGAGATCTAGTTTATCCTATGCCATTAACCATTTATAGCTATCCCTTTGGTGCAATGAAATTTCTTTTTTTCTTTTTAATCTTGTTACCTTTTAAATATCTGGATGTTGGCCAAAGATTGGAAATAAGTTGTTGCTTGTTTTTTAAAGGCATAAAAGTTTGGGTTCTTAATTTGATCCACTTTTTGATTGAGAGCTGGAATATTGTTTCCTGTTAGTTATCCTCCAATGGCCGAAGAGACTGTCAGGAACCTGATTAGGATTTCTTACCAGTGGAGAAATAACTCGATAACTTCTTGTCATTAATTTAAAGCATTACTTTTTAGTATTTTTCTTAAAAAAATTTAAGGACTCCACTTTAACCAACATATTTTTTAGGGCATAATCTAGATGCTGGCAAAAGATGTAGTTCCTGGGTTGTCAAGGTTTAAGGTGAATGCCTGACTCTGAAACATGTATGAATTATATATTGGGAAAATTAATCAGTTAGTCCTTATAGTTTTGACTTAATTGTAACTCTATCTTTGAATTTTGACTCATTTTAGTTTTGATTTGGTTGCAACCCAGCCTTTAAATTTTAATTCAATGTAATTCAGTCTTTATAATTTTAGTAATCTAAAATATTGGTCCCTATATTTTAGAACATAAAATTCTTTTTGTAATCTTTATATAGATTTGCTTTATTCAAGATTATCGAGTGCCTAACTTTTTGGCAGGTGTTTTTGTGGTACCTTGTGAGTTTTAATTAAACCTCCAGTCTTTATGTGACATCTAGCTTTAAAAGGACCAGTATAGAATTTATTCTCTATTTGGTGGTTTCTATGCAAGTGCAATTGTTCTCTCTTCTTTTCACTTTTTTTGTATTGTCTGTTTACTAGCATCTTGTTGCAATACTAAAAGAAGCATAAACCAAAGTAACCCTTCTAATAATTCGCTACTTCATTTTAACAAAATATTGATGAATATCACTTTATATCCTTAGCTTACCATTGCTTGATAATAGTATCCTTATACCTAACTGTTGCTTGTGAATTATGTTAATTTACAGATTCATCATAATGAAAATAAGTGTAGCCCCTTTGTCCTTTTGCCTGCTATAAATGCATGGAAAACAGGAAAGTTTGAAAACATCTGTAGATCAGATTCCAAAAGTGAAATGGCTTATAGTGATACCAGAGGCTTCATCTATGAAATATCTGAGGACATTTCTTCTCAACTGCATTCGGGAGTCATGAGAACTGCCCGCAGAGTAGTGTTGGATGAGATTATTAGTAGCACCATTGCAGAATTCGTTAGTGAAAAGAAATCTCGGAGACACAAGCGGGAATTAGTTGATCAGCTTTCTGAGACTAGCTTGTTAGGCTGCAGAATGGTGATGCCTTTTTGCTTTATAATTGATAATGTAGAAGTTTTTCAACAGTGTAGTAGTTTAATAAGTTGTGTCTTCTTTTCAACAGACTGAGGCTTCTGTGGAGATCAGAGAACGTACTGATCTTACAAGTGAGCCAGCATCTTCCCAACTGCTTGACGATCAGTCTTCTTGTGAAGTTTCCAGAATGTCTCCAACAAGCACTAAATCGGTTGGAAGCATTGAAAACTTTTGGTGGTCATATTCAGTTGTTCGTAAAGTGCTTTGTGATTATTGCATGCAAGTCATGTGGAATGCTGTAGTTTATGACTCCATGGCAGAGTACATACATAACTGGAGAAAGAGAAAACTTTGGTCTATTTGTCATAAGCCTCAACCATCAATTAATGGATGTAAAGATTATGGTGGAATGATCAAATCAGGAGAAGCTGTAAGTAGCGTTCATACTTGAAGTTTTGGCTTTAGTTGTATCTGTCGTTATCTTAACAATCATTTACAGTTGCTTCCCAGGCTGGGTTCCTCTCAACATGATGGTGTTCAGCATCCTCATTCTGGAGTGGAGGCAATTGAAAGAGACTATCTTAGTCAATCGTTGTCTTTGTCTTCTGTTCTCTTGAAAGATGGTAACATTTCAGAAAATGGAAGAGTGTCATGCTCTGACCGTGATCATATAGATTTGATATGCATTCTTGAAAGTGTGGAGAATGAGCTTCACTCATCATTGGAGGCATCTTTAACTGAATACATTAAAAGTTTTGTTGACAAGGAAGTGAAAAGATTATTTATTTGTCCTGAAGAGGACAACTTGGGCGAGGTAACTTATATTAGAAGTGTGAATCTTATGCTTTCTGTTTAAATTTTGTTGTTTTGTTGAAGAGTCCCTTTCAATGTCATAGGATGCTCTCAGTGATGGCATTTTTCCAGAGATATCTTGTGACAAAACATCTGAAGAGGGGATTTTATCTGACAATAAGGTTACTACGAATGAAGGAGATTGTCTTCAAGATTCTATATCTGGAAACCATTTGTCTACTTTATTCTCAAATGCATTTCAGGAGTTGCATGCAAATGTAGATGATGTGGTAAATGAAAAGGAGATTGGTGACATATCACCTCCAGGATGTGAAAAGAGTTCAAAAACAATAGTCCCACAATACAATCATAAGTATCGACCTTCAAGATTAGTTGAAAGTGTTCCTGAGATAACAAAATATGTTGCGACAGCCCTATGCCGACAGAAGTTGCATTCTGAGGTTCTTGAAGAGTGGAAATCTTTGTTTCTTGATGCTGTAGCCAATCAACTTGTCGCATCATTCTGCACTACTAAGAAAGTCAGCCAGCGTAATGGTCACATGGTGAGCATTGGGTCATTTAATATTCTCAGGAACTTAAGTATTGATGCTTACCTTGTTTTCTACCCCTCTCTGCCTCTTTTTTTATTTCGATGTCTTGTAATCTCAGTACATCTTTTTTTTCTGTTTATTTTTTATTCTCCAGGAAGGGAAAGTACTGAATTTGTTTGAGGAATATTTGAACAATCCAACTCTGGGAAGAATGAAGAAAATACCCAAATCTTCTTCATCAGAAGATTCTCAGATGGTTGGGAAATATACATATCATCGCAAGAAGCTGCCACAGAAAGAGCTAGGTTCTTCTTCACACATAGCTGTGCCTGTCAAAAAACAAGTGGATAAGCAGAAGAAACGTTTTTCTGGGGATTTGAATGAGTCTGCTAAAGTTGGAATATCTCCTGATAAAACTGCACAGACTAAGCTGGTAAAAGGGAAGAAGGATAAGCAGGCTGTTGGTGCTGAAAGAAACTTGCAGAGTAAGAAGTCATCCGTAAATAATGCAACTAGTAAAAAATTATTGAAGCATTCACAGGCAGTTCAAGGTATGCCACTTTGTCGCTTTGTAGTTGTTGACCCTTTTGTTTTGGTAAATCATTTTTAATGAATAACATCTTGGGTTTCCCCTCTTCTATCTAGATGATGTCAGCGGTGGTGAGAAAAGTAATGGGGAAAAGATTTTAGCTGTTGTTGAAAATAGTGTTGGCAAGAAAAAGGTAGTTGATAACAGCAATGGTCGTGATAGTGCTATTCATGGAAAGTTCGCTCGTCACTGCTCCAAGGAAACTCTTAATGGTATCTTTTCTATGAATAGTCATGCCCTTGTGTTGTTGGATTCATGTATGCTTATTACCTTCCTGTTTGTTTGAAATAATCTGACTAGTGTCATTTTTTTTTAAATTAGTTCAGGCTATATTTATTTTATATGTGCTTTCTTTTGCAGCAACCAATAAAGTATCAAAACCAAAAAGGAAGTATCTAGTGAATGATGTGCCATCCTCACGTCCTTCAAAGGCTTTGAAAATTGCTTATGATGGTTCAAAGGCTGGAGTTGGTGGACACACCATGTCAAAGACGAAGTCTGCCAGATCCAAGTCATTGAATTTATGTCCTAGATCTCATGGATGTGCTAGGACTTCTATTAATGGGTGGGAATGGCATAACTGGTCTGTAAATGCCAGTTCTACTGATAGAGCATGTGTTAGGGGAACACTGTTTGTTCAAAAGAACTGTATACCATCTGATAGTAACCCAACTCATTGGTCAAATTGTAAGGGTCTTTCTGCACGAACAAATAGAGTGAAAATGCGTAACCTTCTTGCAGCTGCAGAAGGTGCTGATCTTCTGAAAGCCACTCAATTGAAGGTGATTAAAGAATTGTTAATGTTTTCTTGTAAATTTTTATCTAGGTATGTGAATGCTTCAAATATGATGGTTGCTTGTCAATTTTCAGGCAAGGAAAAAGCGTTTATGTTTTCAAAGAAGTAAAATACATGACTGGGGTATTATTGCCTTGGAGTCAATTGAGGCAGAGGACTTCGTGATTGAATATATTGGAGAACTAATCCGTCCTCGGGTATGAAACACAGATATTTAATATTACCACTAAAATGTCATCATCAAAGTACTATGATTTTAATGTTTTTGTAAAGTGATTTTGTACTAAAATCTCAGGAAAAAATATGCATGAGCAGAGTGAGTTAAAAGAATATTATATATATAGTGTTACTAGTTTTTATTTTCCTTTGTTGCAGTCCTAGTTCATCAAGTATTGAATGCATGAGTATTTATTAGTGCACATCAAAGCTATATCAACTGAATTGTTTTTACATGATTTTGGATTAAAATTTCAAAAAATTATGTATGAACAGAATCAGTTTAAGTAATATTCCATATGAAGTGTTACACCTTACAAGTTTTTTGTTACTGTCTTAACTCATTCTTGATTATTGAAATACAAGTACTTCAGAATTAATGCTAAAAATGCACGCATCAAAGCTTTATCATGTTAATCTGTTTTTCCAAAGTGATTTTGGATTGAAATCTCATAACAATAATGTGTTTACATGATCAGTTTAGGAAGGGCTCTATATAAATGTTGCTAGTATTTTTTATTTTTGTATTACAATAATAAACTTAGAATGAATTGGCTCTCTGATATTGAGAGGAGCTTATATTTAGTGCAACATTTTTGTACAAGCTTTTTTATTTTATCTACCAGTCTCTTTTCTGAAAAAATAAGGACTCAAGTTTTTTATGGACGTAAAACTCTGGAGCTGTTTATTGTAATTGAAGAGATCCTTCCTCAATGCATATAGAAAATGCTACTGATTTCCTCAATTTATTTTTTCTCTTATAATTGCTATTCTGTTGGACCGATTAATTAATATTTAATTTTTCTTCTCCCAGATATCTGATATACGTGAGCGTCAGTATGAAAAGATGGGAATTGGCAGCAGTTATCTGTTTAGACTTGATGATGGTTATGTGGTTAGTATTGTATAGTTTTGCCTATTTATTTTTGCGAGTTCTCTTCATCTTATTTCTCTAAGATAATTTTTAACATATAATGGTATTCATTGTGTTAAGTAAATCTGATATTCTGTCTTGCCATATTGGTATTGATCTATTTTAATTGTTTTTATGCTGGAATGAAGGGTCAAGGTTAAGTCAAACTTAGACCGTAAGGACCATGTTGAGTTTTTGAAGTTCAAGATTATTTGATTAGAATCACACGGGTCTAATAATCAATGCTTATTTGAGTGCAGAGTTGAAGATAGGGAAGTACATGCTTCTGACTAGAAATTGGGGCATACAACTTCGGGCCTGAGAGATGATTGGCACATTTAACAGCTAGTACTTAATTTACATAATTAGGTGAACTTGGTATTGATAAAAATGGGATTGCAGGCGTGATAGCTAAAATAGGTGCCAACAGTCACTGGTTAGTGTAGTTTGAGGGGTCATCTCTATCACCTCTTGTTCTTGAGAACTGGATTTCCCAGTTTTTGTGTGTTAGATTAGTTGCAAATATCTTTTATTTGTGAATCTCCAGAGCTTTTCTCAATTATTTTTTTTTGCCATTAATCTCTGTAGCTTTTAATTGAGCAACAACTATTGATATCATATGATGCTTCTTCTTCTGCTTGATTGTGTGCAGGTTGATGCTACGAAAAGAGGTGGGATTGCAAGATTTATAAACCACTCTTGTGAGGTACTTGTGATTATTATCTTTTAAACTGAATGTGGTGTCTTCATGCAAAATGTGGAAACAAGTAGCATGCTGCTTTTTATCATCATTTTGTTTCTCAAAGAAGTATTTGAGTGTCTGCTTGTGTGCATCGTGCTGCTTTTTATTGCCATTTATGTCTCCCTTTGAATTTTTGGCAGCCTAATTGCTATACCAAGGTCATATCTGTTGAGGGTCAAAAGAAGATTTTCATATATGCAAAACGTCATATAGCTGCTGGTGAAGAAATTACATACAACTACAAATTTCCTTTGGAGGAGAATAAGATTCCATGCAACTGTGGCTCCAAAAAGTAAGATTGTGAGACTTCATATCTCTCTAATCCTATGACTAAACCATTGTATTTTATGTTGTTAGGTTTCAACATCCTTTAACATGTACCAGCTAAATGTACATGTACTCAATTTTTTATGTGCTTATCATGCAGGTGTCGTGGATCACTGAATTAGAGTGATTTGATCTTCAATTTAGGTATGCAATTATCACTGAATGTTCCTTTGATTGTTTGATGACTTCATTTTTGATTGTTTAATGTATTTGTAAGTCGTTTTCACAGGTTCACCTTTCTTATTTTGGAATTGGCAAGGCTTTGGCCATAGGTATGTGCTCCTGTCCTGGACAATTGTGGTTGGTTACACAATTGAGGGTGATGTTTTTTACTACTTTGTTGTGCCTTTCTGCATGCCATGCATAATCTAAGTTTTAGTGTATCTTATTCTAATACTTACTCATCTTTTGCTTTAATTTGCGCAAGTTTTGGCCTTTTCGTTGGTGGTTATAATTATTCTTCCTAACATATTTGAGGATGGTTAATGGTTGTTTGAATCTGTTCCTCTTCCTTTACTGCACTAATATTTTTAACTTTTAATTTTTATAAAATTACAGCAGATAAGCATTTTTCAGAAAGGAAGAGTTATGAGAGGGTTGTGTTAGGTTATCAACAGCCAATGTAAAACTTTATTGGATCTATCATGAACATGGACAATAGATGTTATAATGTTAATGTTAGGTCGTTGCCCGTAAGTAACGCGCTGTATGGCTCGAGTGCAGTGATAAGTGAGTTAAAGTTGTTGCATCGGCACTCGGATGTGGTGTTAAATGAGCAAGGACTACTGCGTCATTTTGGACGTGAGCGGCTAAAGAAGTTAGTCTATGAGAGCAAGATTAGATTTGTTACTTGGAATGTTGGGGCATTGAATTGTAAATTTGTAGAGGTTATAGGGGTTATGATTCAAAGGAAAATCAATATCCTATACCTATAAGAAACAACATGGCGTGGAGAAGTGTGGAAATATACTATATTTAATGTAAATATTTGATAGTTATTCTCTTAGTTATTATATGATTATAGGATTAGATATATTAGGAAAGTTTTTTATTTTATTCTCACTGTAAATCCCTTATTTCTCGGCTGGCATCATGGCATCTCCTCTGTATATATGCAATTGACACACCCACCAAATGAACGAGATTCAGTTTTGCTCAGTTTATCTTCATGGTATCAAAGCATGAAGAAGAAAGAGCAACTGAATCATCAGAGACGGACATGGAGTCAAACTCTCAGCCTGAAACTCACTGAAATGCAAAGTCGACTGGCTTGGAGGGTTCATCCAGTGCTAGCTCGTGTCAAGTCGCACACTTTGTGACTGGCCAAGAGAGCTTGCTCGTCTCTCTCATCTTAGAGAAGCTCACTAGCGTCAACTAACGAGAGTGGGCTCAGACTGTGTGACTCGCAATAGAGGGTCGTGGTAAATGGGAATACGTTTCCGGCAAAACCCAATGTCTAGAGGCAACGAGTGTCAAGGCTTTCAGAGTTTGGAAGACTGAAAATTCAATGGTGTGTTCATGGTTGGTAAACTCAATGATGCTGGCTGTGAAGAAGAGTTTTTTTATTTCTCCCAACTGCTCTTGAGATATAGGATGCTGTGAAGGAGGCCTACTCAGATGGTGAGAATGCTTCTCAAGTATTTGAGATTAAATCCAAACTGTGGCTCGTGAAACAAGGTAATCGTGACCCGAGTGAATATTACCTTGAAAAAACTGCTTTATGACAAGAACTTGATCTGATTACTGCTGAGGAATGGACCAGTTCTGAGGATGCTGCTTGGTTTTGAAAACGACTTGAGAAAGAACGCCTTTATGAGTTGCTAGTTGGACTTAATTTAGACCTAGATGACGTTCGTGGCAGAATTCTGAGTTTGCATGGCTTTTGCAATGACCCGGAGGGAGTACTCACGAAGAAAGGTAATGTTAAAAGATGAACCCATTCTCAAACTGGTACTTTTGAATCATCTACTCTTGCTGCCAAGTCCAATGATACTAGAAACAATAAAGGACGTCCCATGTGTGAACACTGTAAGAAAGTCGGCCACATAAAGGACAAATGCTGGGATTTCTATGGTAAACCTCCCGACTGGAAGCCAAGAAAGGGAAGAAGCCGTGGATATGTTGCTGAAAGCTCTATGGGAGATGATAATTCACAGCCCTCAAATGATCAACTAAGTAAGATTCTTGACATGCTGTTAGCCCTACAAACTAATAGCAAGTAGCCTGTTGCTACTGTGGTATGAAGAGGTAATTTTTCTAAAGCCTTAGCTACTATTAAACGAGTATGGACTGGAGACTGTTGGATAGTAGACTTAGGCGCTTCGGATCATATGACTGATAATATTAAACTATTTATGATCTATGTATCTTGTCAAAAGAACTTTACAGTCAAGATTGTAGATGCATCAGAGTTAGTTATTTCTGGTATAGGAAGTGTACAACTTTTGTCTACTCTGACCTTACATCATGTTCTTCATGTTCCTAATTTAAAGTGTAGCTTACTCTCAGTGAGTAAATTGGCAAAGAATGAGAAGTGTCATGTTGATTTCTTTTCTACTTATTGTCTTTTCTAGGATCTACAGATGGGGGTGACGATTGGCAGTGCTAAAGACGTTGATGGTCTTTATTACCTGGATGGAAATGAAGTCAGTAATGTTAGGTCATGCAATAAAGTGTCTCTCCTTAGGACTAGTGAATTGGAGTTGTGGCACAAACGTCTTGGTCACCCTAATTTCAATTATATGTCAAAAATGTTTCCGTCAATTTGCAATAAAAGTGACTGTTTTCAGTTCTATTGTGATTCTTGTGAAAAAGCAAAACATCATTGTGCCTCTTTTCTTAATCAGCCATATGTTGCATCAAAACCTTTTATAATCATTCATAGTGATCTATGGGGCCCCTCTCGGGTTCCTAATAGGACTCACTCAAAGTGGTTTATCACTTTTATTGACGACCATTCTTGTGTTACTTGGGTGTTCCTTCTAAAGGACAAATCTGATGTTTTACAAGTGTTCATTGATTTCTATCATATGATCAAAAATTAATTTCACATGTCTATTCAAACATCCATACTGACAATGGCACATAATATTTCAACAAACATCTCTCCACTTTTTTACTTTCCAATGGAATTGTTCACGAAAGCACTTGTCCATACAGTCCTCAACAAAATAGTATTGTTGAAAGGAAAAACAGGCACATCCTTGAAACAGCCTGTGCACTTCTATTTGGTAGCCATTTTCCTAAATATCACTAGGATGATGCTGTGCTCATTGCAACTTTCCTTATTAATCGCCTTGCCAACCGCACCTTGTCATATAAAACTCCTTTTGAAGTTTTACACCAAACTTACAATCTACCCTACCTGGAAAATACTTTACCATTACGAGTATTTTGGTGTACTACCTATGTTCATCTTCATCACAGAAACAAACTTGACCCCAAAGCTGTCTGATGCATTTTCCTAGGTTATTCTACAACTAAAAAGGGGTACAAGTGCTTTGATCCTACTACCAAACGTATCTTTACCTCCTGTGATGTCACCTTTCACGAAATAGAATCCTTCTACTCACAATCTCCAATCCAGGGGGAGAGTTGGAATGAATTGCAGATTGACGTGTGTGAGAACACTAGTGAAACACCTGAAACACGTAACCCTGTAGCTATACCGCATCATTTGTCCCTTGAACTCTCTAATCTTGGTTTAGACCTAGGAATTGAAGACACCAATACCACTACTCAAAGTGATGTACCAAATCCTAGTCCCCAAGAGACGTCCATGACAGGGGGAGACACCAGATTTGCATAGACCTATACACGGAAAAACAAGACAGGTAAACAGACCCATATCTCAAGCATTGATCAAGAGTCAGAACCAAATGTAGGTGCAAAAGAAGTTAATGGAGGAAGTCTCGAAGAATCAGGTGGTGATGATATTGACCTACCTATATCCATGAGGAAGAAGCCGAGAGCCTGCACTACGCATCCTATCGAGAGGTTTGTGCCTTATCAAGCATTGTCTGCTAAATTTTCTGGATTTACTGCCCATTTGGATAGTGGTACAATACCAAAGAATATAGAAGAGGCCATGGCCTTAAATGGAGACAAGCTGTAATGGAGGAAATGGAGGCATTGACAAACAACGATACTTGGGACGTGGTAGAATTACCTCCAGTAAAGAAAGCAGTTGGATGTAAGTGGGTCTTTACACCTAAATACAATGCTGATGGTAGTCTAAACAAACATAAAGGAAGACTTGTTGCTCAAGGGTTCTCCCAAGTGTATGGTATAGACTACACGAAGACATTCACACCTGTAGCCAAATTCAACACTACTATAATAATTCTATCACTAGCAGCCAACTTTGATTGGCCATTACATCAATTAGATGTAAAAAACACCTTCCTAAATGGTGAGTTGAAAGAGGAAGTGTATATGAAGTTGTGACCAGGGTTCCTAGGAAATAAACCAAATCAAGTTTGCAAATTGAAGAAGTCCTTGTATGGACTAAAGCAGTCTCCAAGAGCATGGTTTGAGAGACTCACATAGGTACTAAAAAAGCAAGGTTCAAACAAGGTCAAAGCGATCACACGATGTTTTTTAAACACAGACACACTAAAATTATTGTTTTGTTGGTTTATGTGGATGATATGGTCTTTACAGGCAATGATATTGAGGAGATTGAGAACCTTAAAAAGGCGCTAGTTCAAGAATTTCAGATAAAAGATCTTGAAGAATTGGAGTATTTCCTAGTTATGGAGGTAGCAAGATCCAAGAAGGGAATATCTATCTCAAAGAAAATATGTGCTAGATCTCTTAAACGAGACTGGCATGCTTGGATGTAGACCCAGTGATACACCCATCCGAGTTGACAAGATAAGCAATGAAGAGGACTTGGCAAGTTTGTTGATATAGGCAAGTATCAGCTTATGGTGGGTAAATTGATTTATTTGTCACATACTAGGTTAGATATTGCCTTTGCAGTTAGCATGGTGAGTCAACATTCACACGACCCCAAGCAGAAACACTTGAATGAGGTCTATAGGATTCTTAGATATTTGAGATGTACTCCTGGAAAGGGTTTATAGTTTAAGAAATCTGAAAAGCGAGGTGTAGAAATCTTTACAGATGCAGATTGGGCAGGTGATCAAGAGGATAGAAAATCTACATCTGGATATTGCACTTTCGTTTGAAGAAACTTGGTTACTTGGAGAAGCAAGAAGCAAAGTGTAGTGGCCTGTAATAGTGCAGAGGCAGAATTTCAAGCCATTGCTTCAGGAATTTGTGAAGGTATATGGCTAAAAAGGGTGATTGAGGAACTATAAAAGAATGATAACTTGCCTATCACTTTGTACTCAAACATTATGGCAGCAATCAGCATCTCACACAACTCAGTCCAATATGATAGGACCAAGCATGTTGAGATAGATAGACATCTTATCATAGAGAAGATTGATACTGGCATCATCCAGATGAGATACATATCATCAAGGGAGCAAACAGCTGATGTTCTTACTGAAGGCTTGAGTAGAGGTAAGTTTGATTATTTTATTGACAAGTTGGACATGATTAACATCTATGGCCCAACTTGAGAAGGAGTGTGGAACTATATACTATATTTAATGTAAATATCTGATAGTTATTCTCTTAGTTATTATATGATTATAGGATCAGATATATTAGGGAAGTTTTTTATTTTATTCTCATTGTAAATCCCTTATTTCTCGGTTGGTATTGTGGCATCTCCTCTATATATATGTAATCGACACACCCACTGAATGAACGATATTTAGTTTTGCTCAGTTTATTTTCAAGAAGCTAAGGATATTCAAGGTTTCAAATTTTGGCATGCAGGAAAAGTAAGCACACGCAATGGAGTAGGCATCATTATTAATAAGGAGTGAAAGAAGAACGTTGTAGAAGTTAGCAGAATTAGAGACATAATTATTTCCTTAAAAATGATAGTTGGATATGAGATTGTTAATATTGTTAGTGCTTATGCGCCTCAAGTAGGGACAGAAGCTAGTCGTAAGGAATTATTTTGGGAGGACTTGGAGGGTTGATTCAACACATATCATAGAGTGAAAATTTTTATATAGGAGGAGACTTTAATGGGCATGTCGAGAGGGAGGCTGGTTAGTATTTGAGGGTGCATGGTGGTTTTGGTTTTGGAGAGGTAAACAATGAAGGATAAACTCTTCTTGATTTCTTGTTGGTGTATGATTTTAAAATTGCCAACATTTGTTTCACGAAGAGAGATGAGCATCTCATTACTTACAAAAGTGGAGCCTCAAGGTCACAGATTGATTTTATTTTGGTTAGGAACACGGATAGAAGACTTTGTAAAAATTGCAAGGTGATTCCTGGGGATGCTGTAATGACACAATACAGGGTCCTTGTCCTTGATGTGTGTATTATGAGTAAAACTCAAAAATGTCGACAAGTAGTAGCACCAAGGATTAGGTGGTGGCAATAAAAGAAGCCTATATTTTCAAGCGGAATCTTTTGGACAAAAGAATTTGGGAATCTCAAGGAAGTGCTAACATCTTGTGGGAAGATATGGCTAAAAAGATAAGGGAGGTTGCAAAAGTAGTTTTGGGAGAATCAAAAGGTTTTGGTCCGAGAGATATGGAGTCTTGGTGGTGGAATAATAGTGCACAGGGCAAAATTAAACATAAGAACTGTTTTAAAGCCATACATTTGTGTAACAATGAGAAAAATTGGGAAAGATACTGTATTGTTAAGAAGGAAATTAAAAGAGCTGTGAGTGAAGCTCGTTCTAAAGGTTTTGAAGAATTTTATAAGTGTCTTGAGACAAAGAAAGGAGAACGAAACATTTATAAGATTGCTAAGAGTAAGGAAAGAAAATCAAGAGATCTAGAACAGGTAAGATGTATAAAGGATGAAGAGAGAAGAATTTTAGTTACAGATGACGAAATTTAAAAATGTGAATGCTGGGCTCTAACGGGATAGCAAGAGCATAAGGTTGGAGTAGCAGAGATGAGAATGTTACGATGGATGTGCGGACATACACGTAAAGATAAAATTCGAAATGAGCACGTACGTGAAAAAGTGAGGGTAGCACCTATTGAGGAAAAAATGGTAGAAAATCGGTTGAGATGGTTTGGGCATGTACAAAGAAGACCAAGGGAGGCACCAGTAAGAAGAGTGGAACATATAACTTTGAGTTCGATTAAGAGGGGTAGAGGAAGGCCTAAGAGAACACTCTTGGAAGTTGTTGAACGCGATCTTTTAATTAATAATATTCCTAAAAGCTTGATAAATGATATAGCATAATGGCGTTTTGTAATCCATGTAGCCGATCTCACCTAGTGGGATAAAGGCTTGTTGTTGTTGTTGTTGTTGACGAAATTAAGAAATAGATGGGACACTTACTTTTTCAATCTTTTCAATGATGGAGAGGGCTCGTCTAATAACTTGGAGGATTTAGTAACTCGTGAAGGAGAAAAAAATTTGTCATTCTATTGAATAATACGTGATAAGGAGGTAAAGGAAGCTCTTAAAAAAATGACAAATGGTAGAGCCAACAGAGTTGATTGTATATCGATTGAAGTGTGAAAATGTTTAGGTGAAGAAGGGGTGAGATGGTTAATTAAGTTATTTAATGTGATTTTATGGTCCAAGAAAATGTTTGACAACTGGAGAAGTATATTAATTCCTATTTATCAAAATAAAGGAGATATTTAGAATTATACTAACTATAGAAGAATTACACTCATGAGCCACACAATGAAATTGTGTGGGAGAAAGTAATTGGGTATAGATTGAGATTGGAGATAAGTATTTTTGAGAATTAGTTTGGTTTTATATCAGGTAAATCGACTACAGAGGCGATTTATCTACTAAGGGAATTAATGAAAAAGTATCGTTATAAATATAAAAATTTACATATGGTTTTTATTGATTTGGAAAAAGTTTATGACCGTATACCAAAAGAAGTGCTTTAGAAAGCCTTGAAAAAGGGAGGCCGGATTGCTTATATTAAAGTTACACAAGATATGTATGAGGGGGTAAAAACTAGTATACGAACGTCTAGTGGTTAAACAAAGGATTTTCCTATAAAGATTGGACTACATCAGAGATCATCTTTGAGTTCTTATTTATTTAATTTGGTCCTAAATGTTTTGATGGAACATATTCAAGGAGAAATTCTCAAATGTATGCTCTTTGCGGATGATATAGTTTTTATAGCAGAGATGAGATAAGAGATTAATTGTAAACTTGAGTTACGGAGGAAGACATTATTAGAGTTGAAAGGTTTTCGTCTGAGTAAGAGTAAGAAGGAATATCTATATTGTAAATTTGGTAAGAGATTAGTTGATAGTAATTTGGAAGTGAAATTGAAATATCAAATTATACCTCAAGTGGAAAAGTTTAGATATTTGGGAGTTATTATTTAAAATAATGGCAAAATCAGTGGGGATATTTCACATAGGATTCAAGCTGGGTGGTTTAATTGAAAAAAAGCTAAATGAGTTATTTACGATCGTAAGGTGCTTAAGAAACTTAAAGAAAATTTTTATCGTACTGCTATTAGACCGGCTATATTATATGGTAGTGAATGTTAGGCTCTAACGGGATAACAAGAGCATAAAGCTGGAGTAGTAGAGATGAGAATGTTATGATGGATGTGCGGACATACACGTAAAGATAAAATTCGAAATGAGCACGCACGTGAAAAAGTGAGGGTAGCACCTATTAACAAAGAAATGGTAGAAAATCGTTTGAGATGGGTTGAGCATGTACAAAGAAGACTTTGGGAGGCACCAGTGAGAAAGGTGGAACATATAACTTTGAACCCTGTTAAAAAGGGTAGACGAAGGCTTAAGAGAACACTTTTGGGAGTTGTTGAACGCGATCTTTTAATTAAAAATATTTTTAAAACCTTGGTAAATGATAGAGTACAATGGCGTCTTGCAATTCATGTAGCTAGCTCCGCCTTGTGGGATAAAGGCTTGTTATTTTTGTTGTTGTTTGAAGAGTTGAGAGGAGGATTGGACAACTCTCTAAAAGGAAAATAAAAAGTAAAAATGGGAAAGAATAAAGTAAAAGAGGAAAACATGCTTAAGAAAATGACAACGCTCCCGATCCCAATTTATATTTGTCAAAGAGATTCTTCCTTTTTTCCCCCCTGGTTGGATATAAAGATTCTCTTAAAACAAGCATGAACAGAACTTTGCTGTCTATACTTCCCAAACAATTATACTGAATCAATATAAAATTATCCAAACTTTTTGTGCAAAATCAAATTGTTATTCTATTACAAAGTAGCCATGCTGCAATGTAGGACTGCAAAGTTGTTTCAGAATCTGTCTTAAATATTTGGGGCAAGCGTCCTACATGGTGTTCAAATTTGCAGCTTGTCACTAGTATTTATTCTATTGAATACTGCTTTCCTTCCATGTAGAAGGTTTCCTTTCAAGGGGTATTTTAGATTTCCCAATTAAAAATTCCCAGTAAAAGTGCTTCCCTGTGGAAAGGAAAAACGAGGGAATCAAATAGGCCATACAAGGGAAAACAGCAGTTGAAATACCATCTCCCCCACATCTCCCCCCCCAAAAAAAAAAGAAAAACAAAAAAAAAAAACAAAAAGGAAAAGGGCAAAGTCCTAAATCATGTAATCCGAAAGCCATGCAGTGAGGAAAGATGATGCAAAGTTGGAAAAGCATGACGAAAAGGAATATTACCTACCCTGAAGATTTCACAAAATATAGTATGACCACTTTGAGGGGCAAAAGAGATCTAGGCAAAGTCCTATTTTTGAGCAATAATATATATATATATATATATTTTGAACGAAAGGAAGATACATGAATCAGCAAGATTAAACAGTTGATACATAATGATGAGACCCTAACCTCTCCTCATCCCCTACCTGAACACAATAAGCAGGTGGATGGTCAAAATAAAATCTACTGAAATAAAAGCAATAAATTTTCGAACACTATTAGTAGCCAACCACCAGGTCAGCTTCCTGGCCCTTCCTTTCCTAACCATACCTCAACGCGTTTGCTCATGTGGGTTGTTGTTCAATGATGGGAATTTAATATTTAACATTGATGATTAAATTAGTGATGAACATTGGGAATACATTTTTTGGAATTCATTTTACTTGTGGTGAAAATACCTTGATTTTGAATGTCTGGTGGCTACAGTTGATCAGAAGGAATGTCTTCTGCTTTGATTGAAAGATATTTGATGTCCTTTGTTATTGCAATCTTAATGGAATTTGCTTCTCTACAGGATGATATTGGGTGTAGTACTCTCCAAGATCCAGACATTCTTTTTGAACATCCGTTTCACCATGGATTGCATTGGATGAGTTGTGAGTGTTCTTGTACTTTGCAATCATATCTTGTATATTTCCACTTCCTGTTGTCTGTGGTGCATGCGGTTTTTTCCTTTTTTTTTTTTTTGGGTGAGGAGAATGTTTCATAGGTTTAAAATTGAGGGTAAGGAGAAAGTATGATTAGTGACGAGCCTTAGACACACAAGGAGAGGTAAATTCTCCAGGTGAAGATATACTTGGTTCAGCCAGTACAAATAAAATCCCAAATTAAAAATGAAAATATTTTCAGATTGAGACACTTGAGATACCTGGCTAGAATAGGACCCTTGGAATACTACACCTTGACCCCAGAATTTTATAGCAACTAGTAGTTTGACTGCAAACTCGATAGAGATACAAATAAAGCATGTAAAACGTCTCCCCAAATTCTTTGACCGGTCTTCCCATGAGCAGCCTTCTTGACATATTCTCCCATGAACATATCATCTTATAGACAATACCCAATATGGGTACATCTCTTTTTCTTTTGATATCTTTTCCTACAAGGTGGTCCTTTTGTCAATTCTTGCCCCTGATGAAAGTAATTCAAATCCCTGCTGTACGTTCTTTGATTGAATATGTTCTCTTGCTTAAAAAAGTAATTCAAATCGCACTAGCAGTTTAGTCGGGGAGATTAGTAAAAGGCCAAAAGCGAATATTGGAAATAAAACTTCAAATAAGTGTATTGTGGCTTCCTAGAAATAAAAGCGAACTCCAATAGCTTAAAATATATTTTGAATTACAGGATCAAATGTTGGACAAGTCCTTAGATCAGAAGCGGGCTTAAAAACCTGAAGGAAAAGTAATGCAAAGCTTATCATCTACCAGCCAAAGCCTATCACAAGGAAACTATAAATGGCAAACAAACACTTCCTAGCAGCATGGATGCAATAACGCCATTGATCTGTATCAGCAGCTAACTGTTTAAATATATCATTTACCATGAGATCTTCATTCTTGGTTTCTTTTTACATCATTTCAGAGGACTTAAAGGCCGTTTACTCAACTCTTCTCACCAGTGCATCTAGCAAAGCTTCCTTTGTATAAATCATCCTAAACAATTTTCAGCTATTTTCTTATTGATATATGCCACCCCAACTTTTCCGTATATTCAATTACTATGAATCTTGTCTTTTCTTCTGCAGTTATGCATCCATCTTAACATTTTGATTTGTTACTGTTGTATAGAAAAGCAGGGAAGAGGGAGAAAGAAGGGGAAACAAGGAGGATAGAGAGAGAAAAGAGTCTAATGAAGGTGCTTATGGGGTCTTAACTGGTGCAGTGTTCAGTGTACTTGACCCTTGGGGACAAGGGCCTTTTAGGGGAAGGAGTATCATTACTTAGTAAATAAACAAAGGTTAGTTAAGGGGTATCCAACAGTTAAGATTAGCTAATTAAGGATTTAGGGTATTAGGCTAAAAATAGAGCGGATTGTGGAGAGGGCTAACTGCGAGGGTTTTGACTGACAAAAGGTTAATTGCTATGTTGTGTAGTTGTCTTGATGTCAGCTTTCCATGGGAGGCTAATTGATAGAGACTTGATAGTATGAGATATTAAGTCCCCAGTTGAGTAGTTTTGGATGCTCAATAGAGTATTTAAGTGAGTTGATTCTCTCATGTCCATAGCTAACTTTTGTGGCAGGGTCCTTGTACTACTTAGACACCCATTAGTTACCCCTTTTGGGCTATCCTTTCAACACCCAACATTTGCGACCATATAGTGTATCACAGTGTTATAGTAGTTCAGTAAAACTTTTCACTAAACTTAGTGGATATTTTCGATTAGAAACTACTCCTAATCTTTTTCTTTACACTCCAACCACCCAACTTGAATCCACGACATCTCCATCTATTTCATTATCAGCTTGTAATATTGATTCCAAACATCTAAACTTGGACTCTTGTGGTATAGACTGATCTTTTATTTTTACATCCAAATCATTTCTAACTTGCTTCCTACTAAATTTGCAGTGAAAAAACTCTTTAGTTCCAATGTCCATTTCCAAATCTTAAGTTTAGAATTAACATCTTGTCTTGAGTTTATTGTTTGAAATGAGCATGCATTTAGGGATTTTGTATGTGATCAGTCAGAGCATCCAAAATTTGTTCAAACAAGAACTCAAAGATCATTGATATTGGCCTATCCTTACGAGAAAGTCATTTATTTTGCTGGTGAGTTCTCATACTTGTTGCCCCCTTATGCATGTCCTGGATATATGCAGCATGGTTCCACAACACCTCTCAATGTAAATGATCACAAGTTTTTTCTAGTTCAATGAAAATCATGTGAGTCTTTTTGTTTTGTTTTGTTTTGTTTTTAAAAAAACTTTGGTACTTTTCCTTTGATGTCCATAGAAGATGAGTAGCCTCTATTGTAGCCCATCTTAGCATGCATTGAAATTGGCTGTCTAAAATGGGTCTTGTTTCTCAATCTTTGCTCAATTATTCTTTCTCATAACGTCAAATCTCAAGTTTGGCCCATGTCAAATACCTTGTTTAACATCATACTTATCACATTAACCATTAAAATGGTCAAAATAAGTGATAACGATCCCTGTGTAACTCATTCTCACCTTGAAACCCTAAGATTCATGTCCTCCATCTACAATTACTGAGAACACAGCTGTAATGAAACTTCCAACAACAATAACAAGCCTATCCCACTAGATGTGATCGACGACACCATTGTGTTCTATAATCAATAATCCATAGTCCGAATTTTCCATCTAAAATAATCCAACATGTATTTTGTGAATTAGGTTAGTGGAGATTATCTTAGCCAGTACATTTAAAACTGAACTGAAGTGTGTAAATATTTAGTTTATGGAATTTTGACAAAAGCTCAAATGAAGTTTAAATTACTCATAATTTTTCAAAATTCTCACCAATAGGGAAAATTATGATAAAGGTTTGAGCACAATATATTTATGTTGAAGTTGAAGTTGATTTCTGTTTTGTTCTAGGAGTCTATAAGATGCCTCATTTCCTATCTGATTGCTGGTTGTCCTTTGGTTAAACCCGCCAGTGAACTGCAGATTGGATAATAGATAAGATTGGGAAAAAGAAATGCTGGCTTTACGGACACCAGTTCATATTTCATTATTAGGCTAGTTAATTTTATATTTTTTAAGTGTTGTGAGTATGTCAGGCGCTTAGAACTGATAGAAGAAAATAAGAAGAGTAATTCTATTAAGATAATATAGAGCAAGAATCTCACTCTACACTTCTCTTAATAGCCAAACTTAGGGAAATTTCAAAGGGTTCAAAAGTTTATTTTGTTCATGATATGCTAGCTTTTGAATTGCTAAGCATATTTATAATGTTAAAGACAATCCAAAGTAACTGAATAAAATCTAGATAACTAAATATCTGGATAATCATCTAAATGAAATCCTACATATCTGAATGAAATTTCCTAATGTCTATATCTAGATAATCTAATATCTATATCTAGGAAATCATCTACATAAAATATAAATAACTAAATAGCCGAATAAAATCTCTCAAAAATAATTCAAAATTGAAAATAACAATAATTAAATGAAACTTAATTCAACTTTCTGTAATGGCCTCTTATCATCACCCCTCCCTTGAAAAATCAAGTTGGAATGAGGGAAATAGACTCTTCAAGAGATATTTCGGCATTCTCATATTCTTCTTTCTTTGCTACGTCGTCCATGGTGGGAGGAACAACCTCCTTGCCTTCCTCTATAATTTCTAATAGTGAAAAGTAGCCCTTACAACAATGTCCAGGTCTGAATGTCTCGCCACATTGGTCACAAAGTCCTTTGTCTCTCCTCCTTTGATGCTCGACATCCATGGGGGTGGGTCTGGTCGATGTCCAACTCATTGGTATGGGAACAAAGAAAGCGTCGCTGAATTTGGTGGTTTGTATGTGTTCGCAGGGTACATGTTTTGGGGAGTCTGCGCTTGAGGAGAACGCTGCTGCAGGTGAATGCATGGTAAGTTGCAAGGTACATGCTTTTGGGTTTGTGAACGTGCACATCTGCTCTTATTTCTTTGTGCAAGCCATTCAAGAATTCTCCCAACAGGCAGTGTTCAAGCCAATTCTTCACCCGTGCAGATCTTTTGTCTAATTCGTGGCAATATTCTTTTACCATGCTAGTCTGTTGGATGCCACATAAGTCTATCCGGATTCTGGTATTTGGTCAGGCCATAATTCTCTTGTAGTGCTTGGACTAACTCGTCCCAATAAAGCAAGCTACACTCTGAATTTATCCATGAAAACAAGTCCAAAGCATCTTCTTCTAAAGACATGGAAGCAACATCAACCTTCAATTCTTCCGGTGTTTCATAATATCGAAAGTGTTTTTCAGCCTTAAAAATGCACCCACGGGGGTCACCTCCATTGAATATGGAGGATTCAGTATGCCCCTTCTGTAGTGGACCTTTGTTTCTTCTTCACTGTCTTCTTCCCAATGTCCTCCTTTGTTTTTTGCCCTTGTGAGTTGCAGAGGCCTCAAGTGCCTCTATTTTTTCCTTAAACACGTCAAACATTTTATGTTTTGGAGCAATGAAGGCTAAAGGATCTGATGTGAGTGGGTTTTGGTTTTTGGGGGTTTAGTGTTTGGTGGAGGGTTGTTGAATGAGGTGGCAAGGGGATTTGTGGTTTCATGTCTAGTATGTGTGATCACCATTGTAACCAGGCTTTGATGCCAAATTGTTGGGCACTCAGAACTAGTTGAAGAAAATAGGAAGAGTAATTCTGTGAAGATAATATTGAACATGAATCTCACTCCACTTTTCTTAATTGCCAAACTTAGGGAAATTTCCAAAGGGTTCAAAAGTCTATCTTATTCATGCAACAGCTAACCATATTTATAATGTTAAAGACAATCCAAAATATCTGAATAACATCTAGATAACTGAACATCTGGATAATCATCTAAATGAAATCCTAAAATATCTGAATGAAATCTCCTAATGTCTATATCTAAATAATCTAATATCTATATCTAGGAAATCATCTAAATAAAATCTAAATAACTAAATATCTGAAAAAATCTCTCAAAAATAATTCGAAATTCAAAAGAACAATAATTAAATGAAGCTTGATTCAACTTTCTATAATGGCCTCTAATGAGTATATAAAATTTTACGGAACATGTTCCCCTTGAATGCTGCTTGAAGGGAAGTGATGCATACATCGAAGTTCCACGTTGGTGAATAATGAGAGAGTTGAGCATATACATATAAAGGGAAAGGCAGTATTTCTTGCTTGTTGGCCTGCGTAGAGAGCCTAGAATTCTTTTTTTGACCAATTTTATTAGTTTTTGTCAATTTAGTTGTTTTTTCCATTTACTGGTCTTATGCTCTAAATGGTCTAAATGGCCCTGTATCATGGTCAATGAGCCGGTCCAATCTTTTTAATACTGCAAGAGCTTTTTATGCTAAGAATTTTGTTTATAATGATGATTGAAATTGAATAAAGACAAATCATTAAATGTATGTTTTGGGCGTGTTAAGTAATTTTTTAAATATTGCAATAATTATGTCAACTACAAGTTAAAAAAAAAAAAGTTTCTTTCAGTCCTATTTGTGAGTCACTTTTAACTACCTTACTAAAGCCAATGAGTAGTAGTCAAATTACTGTTGTCTGAAAAAGAAATTGTCTAATTTATCTTTATTAAATATATCATCTTTAAAAACACTCCCTCTTATAACTTTTTACTCTCTACTCATTGGAAATTGTGAAAGGATAAAATTAAAAGAAAGTAATTATTGATTCACTTTCTTATGCAGAGTGACTTATAAAAACGATTATAAATTCTTTCTAAAAGGTGACTTGTATATATGACCGGAAGTAGTATACAAAATTTCATTGAATATTGGAATGGAGGAATAATATACTTGAGGAAAAGATCCATAGAATTGATGAATGATTTTGGGTTGAGGGACAATAACAAAGTTATTCATATCCATTTTCTTAAAATTCAATAAAAAAGTTTGAATAGATTTTTCTAGCGTCTAGGCATATATTGTTGATGACGACAGAAATTGAATAGAGACAAGTCATTAAATGCGTATTTTCTGGGTGTTGATTTCAGCATTCGTTTTGTTTCAGGATATTGGTCAGCATGACTAAAGAAGGGCTGAATGACGTGAGACTGTTCATCCAGAATCATTTTGGGTTGCCTATTCGTTGGAAGATGAAATAACTAACCTATGGGATTCTTGTAGAGTTTTTTGGCAGATGAGTTTCTCCCCTTTAGAAGCTGTAAATAATTGTTTCTTTTTAACATATGATAGATGAGGATAGACTTCGATTGGTTTAAATAAACAAATGATTTATTAATAAGAGAAACATTTTTTGGAAAATCTCAGTGCGTGTTACTGAAAATTACTGCACAAGTACTAAATGTCCCCGCACTCGTTACATCCTTATTTCTGATGTATTAAGGGGAACTGAGTAACATTTTCATATTTCCATAGGCCTCTTATAGTAATGACATTCTTTAAAAAATGTACTGTAATTTATCAGGCATGGATATCAACCGCTTTTGAACATTGATACATTCAATGTATGATTGAACTTACGGTGAGCTGACTGATCAATCTATGGCTGGTTTTACTATTAGTGAGATTATTACTATTTAAGCCAGCAATTTATTTTTTATGTGGAAAAAACTATGCCTTAAAATATGAGTATCTTATGAATTGATAATAGTGGGAAAGCTCATCGAAGATTCTGGATACGGAAAATGAGGTTATTTTCCATATCGCTATATGATGATGAGATCTACCATGAAGGTCCTTGGTGGAATTGATTACCCTTTAGTAACTATGCTTTGTGGCAGTTTACTGTATCATGTTTTAACTTATTGGTTTGTGGTGCATATTTTTACTTAATGATCGCGTATACTTGAATATGCTATGAAGTCATTATTATTCGGTTGAAATGTTGTCTTTGTCTATTTATCCCTCTTTCTCTAACGATAGTAAGATTTTAAAACCCCCCCCCCCCCCCGGGGGGTGTGGAAGCCGATTGACATGAGCATTATTAATATTAATTATTAAGTAGCTGTGGAAGAGAAAATAGTTGAAATAAGTCTCGTGTGAAAAGGAGCAAGTGCTATTTCTCTCTTCCAGGAGCGTTAGAATTTTATGTGAACGTTTATTTATTTTGGTTCCCTCTTTTAATTCCTGTGGTTGCAGGGATAGCTCCAATAGGAAACCATATTTGCTGCGTTGGATTGTGCCTGCCGGTATGTTTCTCTTATCCGTTCCTCATTGTTTTTTGGTATTACTTTTAAATTTTATCTTTTGAGTTGATCTTGTGGTTCCAAGAATGCATATTCACGGATTTATTAAATAGACAATAGTGTTTATAGAATAATCAGTTTAATTCTTAACTTGATTAATAATCGATGGGCTTTTGAATTGTCAGTTATTGACCAAAGTACCCATTAGTCTTCTAATGCACAAACCCTTAAAAGGGAAATTTTTATTTGTATAATTTATTCCTTTATAAATGAAGCCGTGGGTCCCACTTAATTTCTTATGAATGATTTGGTTTGAGAAATGATGTTTTCTATATTATTAATTTCGCTTTTTCCTTTTACTATTTTTTTTTAGGAGTTTTGGACAATCAACACATTTTAAGTTACTCATTTGCGATTGATTTAATATAAATAATAAAAATTTCAACACGCTTTTTGGCCATTTTCATGTTGCATAAATTTTAATTTAATTTTCTTTTCTTATTTTGATTTAGTTAATGTCGCCGTTCAATATTTAAAAGATAATGCAGTTGATTGGCTTGCTTGTATATCATTTTAGTTGCCTGGGCTTATTTATTTATTTTGTAATTGCATGGGCTTTTATTGGTTGACACGGAATTTGCTAAACGTGCCCTTAATTGTGTTATCGTCCCAATGCTATTTTGGCACACGGAAATATTAAGGGAAAAATAAATCTCCTTAAATTATAAGACAAATTTAAAGGTATTATGTCCAAAATAAAAGACAATTTGTTAAAAATAAGATTTTATCAATGATGCTTTTCCAGTATTATCATTTAAGTGAAGAGAGAATTGAAATTATTGTAGTGTAAATGGAGGCATTTTGGAGTGTAGATTTAATGGTATATTAAATGAAGGCATTTTTGAATGTTTCTATTTTTGTTTAAAAAAAAAAATTTGTAGAGTGTCATTATTAAACTTTTATTGGTATGTGTAATCTTATATCAAATTATCTTATAGTTTCGAATGGAGAATTATTGATCTATCAAGAGTTAGGAAGGAATCAATGTTCATTCTTTAAGTTGACAGATCGAGCATAGTTATTTTTAATATATAAAATTACATTTTCTAGCACTATTTTACTATAGATGCGATGATTCATTTTTTTTTCCCCTTAATCATTTCTATTCAATTAAAGTATGAGCTGTGACTTTTAAATTTTATTTTGAACAAAATTACTTCATTTCATTGACATGTAATATTTTTTTTATTTCTATACTTTTATGACTTGTGAGCAGCCTGTGTATGCTAATGCGAAAAATAGGATCTATTGTTATAACTCTGGTTTGTTAAATGGTTATCAACCGTCTAATTTATTAGAGATTTTATATTACTTACAAATTATAAATGATTTGGGGACTAAAGTAAGACATCAATCCATTAACCATAGACTAACTATTCGATTATGCGAGTTTAGTAGCATGTCTTCCAATCCTACTACATAGATTAGAAATAAAAACTGAAATGATTAGTAATTGTATTATTTTACTCACTAAAATTAATTGAGAATGATCAATTTGAAACCATAGCGATAATAAATAACCAAAATCTATGTTTGTACTAATAAGTAGGCAAACATTTTTTACTAATATGAATAGCATACCTTTTAAGATGTTAGATATCTCTAGATATCTCTGTCATGCAAAATTCTAAAAAGCAAATATAATAGTTAAGAAAAGTATCACAAAAAGAAAAACAAGAGGTACATAGTGTTCATTACGTTATGTTTGTAATATTATTGCAAACATTCTATTTCTCATATCTAACATTCTATATAATGGCATGTCATGTGACAAAGTTATGTTGACTTGTTTTAGTCAAACTTTGCATGATGTTTCTACTCTCTTGCATATGAATGTTATCGAACTTGGTAGGATTTTCATGGTTTGGTTAAAGATGAAGTTCTTTCTCTTAAGATTTTTTGGGATCACAGACTTAAACTTTGGTTATCGAGTATCTATGTAGGAGGTGTGCAATCGTTGTAATCATGTTAATCTACGCCATGGAACTTTCTTTAATATGATGGTTATAAATGACTCTCAAACTTTATCAAGTCCAAAATGATTTTACATGTTACGCAAGAGGGGGAAAAAAAGTAATCTTTCTAGAGATCATGAAGCTATCATATTATTATTAATTAAATGATAAGTTATCTTATATCTGGTATATCGCTAAAATTTTTAAACATTTTGTTGCTTTTTTAGTTGGGTATCAGAGTAAGATTGCATTCAGGGCATATAACATAGAGGTGTTTACCAACTAAGAAAAGAAAAACATCAAAATTTAAATTGTGAGTTACAGATCAAAGTATCCATACCATTAGTCTTATGATGCACAAACCATTAAAGAGGATATTTTTATTTGGTAATTTCTTTTGTTTATTCCTTTCCGAATGGAGCTGCGTGCTATATTTAGTTGGATTTTGAATTTTGGCTTAAAAATGGCTTTTCCGTATGAACAATTTGGTTTGAGAAATGATATTTTCTATAACATTAATTTCACCATTTCCTTTTACATTTTTTGGGGGCCAATGAATACCTGTTAATTTATTCATTCCTATTTATTTATGATTTAATATAAATATTAAAAATTGAAGTTCATATTTTTTTCCTTTTTCAATTTAATTTTCTTTTCTTGTGTTGATTGAGTCAATGTTGCCTTACAATATTTGAAAAATAATACAGTATAGTTATCATTTTGGTTGCATGGATTTTATTGGTTGACATAGAATTTGGTGAAAGTGCGCTTTAATTGTGTGGTCCTCTCTCACCAATTGATTTAGCATCTGATGTTATATTTAGTACATGGAGATATTGCAAATATATATATATATATATAGAACAGTCAGACATGGAGATATTGCAATATATATATATATATTGAACAGTCATATGAGGTCTACTTCTTGCAAGAGTGAGCATTCTTTCTATAAATTGGCCAATCGAGGGTAACCTATGTTTAATTTATACAAAGTTATATGTAACTTATGAATAATTTGCTTTGTTAAATGATTCATAAATAGTATAATTTATTCAAAGTTAAACTTGCATAGATTAGAAATAAAAGCCAAAAGGACATTATTTTAAAGGAAAAATGATAGTAAAGTTCCGAAAAAATTAATGATAATTATGTTTGACAAAATATTTTGAAATGTGAGTTGTAAATATTAATTCAAAAACTGCAAATAAGAATCTCAATTACAAAATTAGAGTTACGTTTGTAATTTAAATATTTTATTTATTATTGAAATTCTTGAATTGGCAATTATTCAAATTGATATTTGAAACTTATTTTCTACAAAATTTTATTGGAGATTTAACTATTATTAATTTCCTATTTTGGGACTTGGATTCTCCTTATTTTAAGTGTTAGAAGGCAACCATGACTAGATTGTTATAAATAATATGATGAGTAGATATCCATGATTCCATAACTTCTTAGAATTCTATCTCATGATTAAAGTTATTATATATTATAGCTCTTAAATGGATGCTTTTTTTAATATTTATTCTTATAACTTCCAATGATTTCATGTTGTACCGTAACATAGAATCATTCTTCTATTTATGAAATTGTTACTTTTTGGTGTAGCATTGGTAGCCTATAAATAAAGGTTTAGCACTAAGGGATTTGGATGTACATCAAAATCTGCATGAATGTGAATTCTCTCCCATTTTCTATCTCTACATACCTTTCTTGCTTCTATTATATTCATATTTTCTTTTGCTTTTATAACATGTTATTAGCACAACACTCTATCAAATTAGTTTATGGCATAAATTCAGAAATTTTTTTTATTGATGCTTGTTGATTTTTGTTCATGGCATATAAATGGTTTCTCCAAATAGAGTAATAAAATTTTGCAAATTTATTTAGATGGAATGATGACCCTGCAATTTCAAAGAAGGTATCAATTTTACCTATTCAGGGCTAATTGGTGGAGATTCATGTTGAGCAATAAGAATTTACTTTATTTTGTTTTTACTTTGTGCCATTGTTATATTTTATATTTTACCATTTAAAAGTACAAGTTTTATTCTTATATGTTAGCGATAATCAATTTGATATTTATTGACAT